TTATTTTTTACTGCTGTAAGATTTCAGGATAGGAAGAAGCTTGACTTCTGAGGAAACTGAAGCCTCGAGGAATGACTGGCCCAAATGTTCCTTGGCAGAGCTGGAAGCTCACCATTCTTGGCATACAATGTACCTTCTCCCCTACTGTGCCAAAGGTTAAGCTTAGTTAAGTATGCTAACTAAGCATTCTGCTAGTGAGCTATCTCCCTTACAGGATTGCTGTACTCTAAGTCTGTAGAAGGGAGATTACTTTGGCGATCATGTATTGAAAGACTCTAATAGTTGCTAATTCACTCATTTCTTTATTTAATCATTGCACAACTCACTATGTGATATAACATAGCAAGTGCTGGGAATGTAAGTAAACAGAGAAAATGCCTTGTCCCTCTGGGGCTTACTGCTTAATAGGGGAAACAGACTAATCAGGTCACTGTGTTTTCAGGTCCCATATCTCTCCCTGATGTGTAGATTACTGGAGGCTACAATCTTGTAAGAAGTCTAGGAAAAGGAAGGTTCAAGTCACTGCAGGACTTAATGTTTTATATTAAAAATTACTCAGTTCATAGAAGAAGAAATTATGATCTCTGAGCATCAGTTTTCAACAGGAATAGAAGAAGGCTACTAATCCTGCGGGAGTGATGGGCCATTAAATCCCTGCCTGCAGTCAGGCTCCGCTTGAGAGTTCAACACATAATGTCTTCCTACCCTTCTCTTTATCATAAAAACTCATTACCTGTCAGGTATTTCCTCAAAGAATGACTCCACGAGAAAAGGTGCATATGTGCAATAGTCACTGGAGAAAGGAGAAGGACTTTGGGGTATTAGAGTAAGGAAGGGACTCCTCAGCAGACAGGATATCAGGATGCTCTCTGGAACGTGACGCATGAATGAGGTGGGTGTGGCAGCTTGGACCTGTGACCTAGTCCTTGGGACCCCTCAGCTGTTTGAGGGAAACTGGAACTGCAGACATTTGCAAAGGCAGTATGTTCATGAGAAAGCTGCACTCTTCTCTAGTCTAATCAAGTCTTGACATTTGAATTTCGAACTAATTTTGGGGAAATAACGTCCCAGATTCTCATCATATAGCACTTGTTCAATATGAATAGGGATAATCACTCCGCCAAGTGATTAGCATGCTCAATAATAACTATAGATGCTTCTCCACTTTTTTAACTTTTAGATAAATGTCAAATACCTTCCTTAAGGTGCATTTAATTTTATTTTTCTCTTTAGAAGCATTTTCAGGAGAGAAAATGTAATGATGGTGCAGGGAAGAGCCAGGCACTGATGGGAAGGAACAGGAAGGGGATGCCAAAGTGACCTGGAAGAGTGTTCTCAGTAGCATTTTTTTATACACAGAAAAGGAAAGCTATTAATACCAACCTCATAGAAAGAACAGAAGAAAGTGGATGTGATTTTCCTAGAGATTTCTGCCAGCCTGCTTCTGACAGTCCATTGCAAAAAGAGGGTCCTTCATGGTAACATGATTTCATAGCCTTTGACATCTGGCTGCCTGCAGAGACCATGTGGCAGCCTGGCTTGACAGAGTCAAGTTGTATGGGCCTTTTTACTTAGCAGAGCTCCGGTTTCTTCTATTCCTAAGTAAGGGTGCCAAACTCACCTCAGAATGCATGCCATGGGAGTGTAAGAAGCCAGGTATCACAATTATGATCTAGCAAAGTCCTCCATCAAGGACATGAGCCTCCTTCATTTTTTTCCTTTAGTATATTGTAATCAGAATCAGCTTTAGATGCCTGAATTATCCACTCCCTGAGAGAACTCCTTAGACAGCTATAGTCAAGGTACATGTCTTGCTTTTTATAGGTCAATGCCCAAAGCTAATGGAGTCACTTAAAGAGAATCACACAGAGGGCTTGGGTTTATTTTAAGATGAATAGTAAACTCTGAGTATTCAATACAATAGGCTCTAGCTGTTCAGTGCATTTCTACAAGGCCAGTTTAGGTCCTCTGCAGCCAACTCAAAAGGAGTAACTGCGTTTGCATACATCATACAGTGGAACATTTGTGACAGGTTCTTTCCTCAAAACTACTTGCTTGTCATTAATTAGACTTGTTATCCCCAAGGCTAAGGGGTCATTGTGTAAGAGGAAACAAAATGTTTGTGGAGCCAGAGGGAGCAGAATTCTCCATTGCGCCAGTATTTTTCAGATACGACAATGTATAAACTAATAGTGGCTGAGCATACATGCAAAAAGTTGCACAAGATCAAGCTAGCCAAAAGTCACAGCATGGATGGGAAGGACCTAATGAAGTTACATCCCTGCTATTGGCAATTGATGGCTTCTGGGGAAGGGAGATCCAGGTTTCTTCAGTGATGTGTGCCCTGAGAGGTTACCCATGCTCCTGGAGAGGGTACCATTCCGCTGCTCATATAGGCAGCAGGAAGTCAACTCATTGGGTCTTAGAAAAAAACGTTGGCTGTGGGTCTTTGCATCTGCTCCCATTAGTTACTGGATGAAGCCTCTCTGAAGTCGATTATGCTAGGCTCCGGTCTCTGAGTACAGTAGAGAATCATTAGAAATCATTTCTTTGACTTTTCTCCCCCAATGTGTTTGGTTCTATCCTAGGTCTCTGGGCTATGGCCAGCCTGGTTCCTGGACCTCCAGGCTGTATCAGGCATGGATCTCAAGCTGGATCCGTCATTGGTTGGCCATTCCCACAAGTTCTGTGACACCTTTACCCCGGCACATCTTGCAGGCAGGACAAATTGTAGGTCGAAGGTTTTATGACTGTGTTGGTGTCTCAGTCTCTCCACTGAAAGCCATGTCTGGTTACTAAATATGGCTGGAGCAGACTCCATATCCCAATTACTAGGAGTTTTAATTAAGGTCATCCAAGTATATTCCTGGGACTTTCTCTTACACTAGAGTTCCACCTCACCCTGAAATGTGAGGAATCCAATGGAAAAAGGGGAAGAAGAGTTGTAGGAGCCAGAAATGTCAAGGACAACACAAGAAAACCTACAGAATCAACTAACTAGGACTCACAGAGTCTCACAGAGAATGAAGTGACAAACATGGACCTTATTTGTGTCTGAGCTGGTTTACTGCATACTTTATGCTTGTGTAGCTTGGTGTTCTTGTAGGACTCCTAATAATGGGTGTGGGGGTATCTCTGAATCATTTGCCTCCACTTGGGACCCATTTCCTCCTACTGGGTTGCCTCATGCAGCCTTAATATGTGTTGTATCTTGTTAGGCTCTGATCAGTCAATATCTCTGGGAGGCCTGCCCTTTTAGAAAGGAAAAATGGGGAGGAAAGAATCTGGGGGAAGGGATGGTTGGTGAGGGAGGGACTGGGAGGAAAAAAGGGAGGGAAATCTGTGGTCAGGATATATGAGAGAAGAATAAATTTGAAAACAGTATCTGAGTAGTTTCTTACAACTTCCATCAAACTTCCCTGGTAATCTTAGCACTAAAATGATCAGGAAAGGTAAACACAGTTTGCAAACCTAAGATGAAGATGGAAGAAGCTTTGGCACCAATGGCTAGAACAAAGGAGAGACAATCCTTCTTCCCACTCCCACTCCCAGACCTCCATCACTACCAGACAGCTTTTCTGAAGTGCTTCCCTTATAGGTTTGATTTTTATTTCGACTGTTTTTGAAAGATATAATCCACAAACCACTAGAAATATTACTCCTAAGAAAGCATCATTATGTTTATAGACAAAACCTATAATGATGAGAGTTACACGTAAAATCTAGGTGATTTTTTTTTCAGGTTCTGATCTACACCTCATTGTGTACTTTAATCAGCTTAGTAAGCTATGTAAATGGAGCCTTAAGATAAGGCTGTTCACAGACAAATGGTTGGCCTTTCTTAGTATGTCCTTCTGGTGCAATCACAGCTCTCATTTTTAACTCAGTGTCTGTAGAAGTGCTCCACAAGTATGGTCATAGAGCCATGGAGCCCCAGGATACATGACTGCACCGTATGACAACACCCTAGTGGTTCAAGAATCGCAGTGTTTGTTTATTGGGAGCTGCTGATGCACTTATGAAATTGCCATCCCTAACAACCTCTGGTGTTTCTAACCATAGTGCACAATTTATATAGTGTGCATTATTTTAAAATATTGATAAGGACATTGGCTATGTGACAAATCTACTTAATGTAAAAGCTACATATGTTGTTTTGTTTTTTTTTTTCTAATGTTCCTTCAGATTTTCTTTGATCCTTTTTTCTGATCATGTTTGGAAGTTCTGGCTAGTATTTCTAGATGCACATATATACTTTCTAAATGTAGTTCTGGCCCAAATCTACAATCTTTAGTATAGTACTCTAGTGCCCAAAGTATGACAACCCCAACGCATACAGCTGTTGCCACAAGTTCCTGGGAACTAGAATCACTCTGCAGGGAGGACTAGGAATTAGTGTTTTACCTTTTAAAGATTCTGGATTTTCTTTTTTGGGTGTTAGACCAAAGTCTTCAACAACTCAATTATCACTGTTTTATTATTATAAGCATGACTGACACCTTTCACCTGTGAAAAAAATTTTAATTGCCTGTTTCCATTCACATCCTCGCTGCCCATAGCGAGAGAAGTTATCTTTTGAGGCTGAGATTGCTCCACCCTTTTCTATTGTGCTTGCAATTCTGCAGCATAGGCCACAGAAGCCTTGCCAAGTAAGTCAGGCATTGCACAAATAAGATGTGCCCTGATCTTCTCAGAAGGTGTAAAGAACACAGATATTTGCATCACCTAGAGAATTTACCTTCTCTTCCCATCTACTGGCAGGGTACACTTAACACACAGCACATACAGAGTAAGTAATACACACACATCACAGCTGGATCTGAACTAACCATACCCTTGGCTCCTTAAAAGGGGTCTGAAAATTAGTCTTTGTCTCATCCTATGCCACGTGGCTATACCAAGCTGCACCAAGTGTAAAGCAAAACCAAATGCCATCTTTTTTTTTATTTAAAGACAAAACCTATTTCTCCCATCTTTTGCCCCCTCCACAGACCTCTCACCTGCTTAAGGATTTCAGCAGCCGTCTCGTGTGAACAATCAAATATCACATAAAACTCTTTGCCTTTCTTCATCTCCTTGAGCAGAGGTTTGGCATCTTTATTCCCAGAGGGCAGCTGGCGGATTTTGATTTTAATGTTGTATCTGGAGGGAGCTTTGATGAGCTCTTGCAGGCGAATTAGACCTGGAAAATAGCATCCAATCATGCGCCAGAGACGGATCTGTGTTGTTTATTGCCATTTACAGTCAAGGCAAAACATTCCCAAAATGTATCAAGCGGCCACCAACCTAAAGGTTACACTATTGACTTCCTATTTGTCATCGCTCCTTGTCTGGTAGATTGCACTGATATTTTCCATTTGTGGGGCTGTGGCTTGGAAGCACAATTTTCCCAAGTGCATTTTGAATTTATTTAGCATGCAATTGTCCTTTTAGCCTCTCAGCCAACACTCCAAGTCTTTAATATCAAGTCTGTGACTATGCAATTTCAACAAACAAAAGTTTGCTCGAAGTTTCTAGAAGTGCTCAACGAAACAACACCTGTTACCATTTTTAGAACGTATTTTCAAAAATCTTTTCTTATGAATATATGTGTGAGTGTGCATGCATATGCATGTGTATGTACCTGGACCAGAGGCCAGAAGAGGGCATCAGATTCTCTGGATCTAGAATAACTGCAAGTTGTGGGCTGACTGATATGAATGCTGGGAGCTGAATTCTGGTCCTCTGCAAGAGCAGGGGGCACTCTTAAGTGACGAGCCATCTTTCCAGTCCGAACTCCTGGTATCTTTTAAAAACTCAATGAGTACAAGGATTTCTTGGGGTTGCTAACTAATGAAAACTGATCATCTAATATTTATTTGTAATATGTCGTTTATCAGCTAATTAGTCAGCTTGCTTTGTGTAATCTTATAGTCAGACTATTTATTAATGGCTCATTATAACTCTTGCTATTACATTAGGATGATGTGTTGGTTAAGTCCTTTTTTGATGAAAACGTACTATAAGATTTGAGGTGAGTAGAATGGTGAAAGCAGAAATGTCATTTAAAATAAATCTGCTGGTAGTTGTAGCAAAGTGTACGCAGCGGTCTAAATTGATGGAATATTTGCTTTGTCACAGTTCTGGATTCACCTGAATTGCACTTTTCCCTAATAGAAGTCCATTGCTAGGCAAGGTGTATAGCTGTGGAAAAGCTCCATCTCAGGTTCCTGTTGTTAACTGGTGTTTGCTAGACTGCACGATGCTTCCCCCCTCCTCTCTCAAGGACTCCAATCACATTGGGAAACCTACTTTAAAAGAAAGTCTGCAGTTCAGTGCCTTTGGGATTTGTTAGCTAGAAGTAATCAACAGAGAATATTAAACTTTATGAGTGTTCAGATGGAAATTGTATGGAAATTGTGCTGTGCCTGGTTCAGGGCGACACATGGTTTCCAGCCCCTTCCAGACGTGAGACCTTTGCTTCTTTCTCTGTTATTTTTTATTGCTCTCCCTTAGTGGTCCCGTTTGTTTCAGCTTCCATTGGAAAGGCTTCTCCAGCACAGGAGACAGGTTTGATTCTGTAGTGTGGACAGTTTTTCCAGACATCATTTTTAGAGTTAAACTGAGTAGAGACAAGGGATACTGTTGTAGAACCATGTTAAGCGTTAGCATATTTTCCACCCACCCCTTTCTTCTTTTCATAAAAATCAAAATTAGAACAGAAGACTTCTTGGGCTCTCACTCCTTTTCAAATCAGTCAAGAACTAAAACTGAAACACTCCTTTTTTAAGAACCTACTAACTTTTTTTTTTTCCTGAACCACCACCAAGTGCTAAGAATGATGTTGAGGGTGGAATGGAGAGTGTGTGTGTGTGTGTGTGTGTGTGTGTTATTTCTTTTATTAGTTAAACCTCATAATAGCACTATGAAGCAATTTATCATGTTTATTATTTCAAATTCAGAAACCAAGGCCCAGAGCAATTAAATGACTTACTTGGGGCTATAGGGATAGCTAGGAGGAAACATAGATTAAGATTATTTGTGAGTCTAATGCTCTATCTTTCAGTGTCCCCACCCTGCCTCACAGGCCATTGGTCCTGAGGGAGCACGGAAGCTTCAAATGGTTTGATGAGAAGGAAAAACAGAACCAGAGACAGATTTTCCTCTTTTCCTTTGTTCAGGCTTTATGTTCTGCTATCACATTTTTTTTTCATTTTTAGCTTGAGCATGACCACCTAGGAGAGCTCAATGTATCCTCTAGACAAAACAGAGAAAACATTTTAAAAGTACATTTCATAGGCTGCAAAGAGCTGCCCCTTTTTCTTTGTTGAATAGAATGTCAACCTTGAAGCACATCTTCCTAGCCAGGACCCTGTTGGCATTTAAAGTTGACAGACTCCAGTTCCCAATTCATTCATTCACACTCAAAAGGACGTGTTTCCTCGGTGCTCATGAGCTCCTAAGCCTGTGCTGAACTCTGCAAGGCCTTTAAAGCTCGGAAGAGATACTTTTCATACTGGAAAGTATCCCAGTGTGGGTGGAGTATCATTTGCCACTTAATTCAGACATAGAAAGCTAGCTGGGCCTACTATAGGCTAGAGTAACTGGAGGTGACAGTCATATAGCAGGTTCAGGGCTTAAAGTCAAGTCTGCCTCCTGATTCTCAAGTAGGGTTCTTTCTGCTTAATCAGTGACCCTCCCCAGTTTTTATATATTAGAACAACTGATTGAATGAATGGTTCAACTATCCAAGTTACTAGGCCAGCAAATAGAGAAAGCAAAATCTATACCAGAATAAGTGCATCAGACCTTCTCTTGGCATGCTGTGACCAACCACTTTCATAATAGTTTCAGCAAAGAAAGATTTTCATGCCAAGAGAGGAAGAAGAGCATAAGTTAATACAGAAGGTCAGTTTCTAATTGGCATAATTTTCTCTTTATAGAATCTTATCACTGAGCTTGTAAATGAGAAGACACTTTCCTCGATGTGTAGGTAAATTGGCTTTGGGTAAGGAAGGCTCTGCAGCCTGAAAGGTTATAGACCCAAGGTGTGAGAAGGGCAGTGACTTTACACCCGTCTCCTGAAGCAATAGCTGCCTTCATGGCAAATGATGTCAATTTTACAACTTAGAAGGTTTTCTGCCTTCACAGGAGAGCACATTCACTGAAAGCTTTCCTTTGTATTTGCAATTTGTGGTAAACAATCAAGCATTTCATGTTTCATGGTAATGACTAGTTAAAAGTTATTTGTTAAAAAGATAATGACTTTAGAAAAAGGAAATGGATTTAAGAGCAGTCCCAGCTTTCTGACATCCTCATTTGGATTCCTGCCCTGATCAGGTGATCCAACCCTGATAAGACTTCTCTTACAAGCAATACCAATGCTACTTGCTAACTAGGAATTTGGTGGTTTGTCTAGGTGAAATGAAGATCAGGAATGGACCAGACAGACCCAAATGAGTGACTTCTGTGGGATAATTCTTTTATACATGGTAAAGATTTGTCATTCATATTGGTTTAATAAAATGCTGATTGACCAGTAGACAGGCAAGAAGTATTTGCCAGCATCCAGGTAGGGTGTCCAGACTAAGAGAATTCTAGGAAGAGAAAAAGCAGAGACACGGTTGCCAGGCAAATGCATAGGAAGCAAAAGATAATGCCTTACTGAGAAATGGCATCAAGTCATGTGACTAAACACAGATAAAAATACTGTGTTAATTTAAGATGTAAGAGCTAGTTAGTAATAATCCTGACTAACAGGCCAAACAGTTTATAACTAATATAAGCCTCTGTATATTTATTTGGGACTGAATGGTTGCAGGACCAGGTAGGACAGAAACCCCAGTCTACAAGTAATATTATACAAAATTGATCTTATCTTGACTCTCTTTGACTATCAATGTCAATCAATGAGAGAGGAAGGTTATGGGCCAAAGGAAAAAAAAAAGAGATGCCACAATGAAATCCAATGAATGCTGCTGGGGCAATTAGGGAAAAGAGGAATGATGTTTGCAAGACAGTTTTGTATTATTGCTAAACTTCCTACATTTGATGGATTGCTTGCTATGTGGCTGTGGTGAAGAAAGTTGGTTTCTAAAGTAGGCACAACAATGTATTAGTGAGCAAAAAAGTCAAAATATCTACAACTTAATTTCCAGTGGTTCTATAGATCTCATAGCTATTGGTACTCATACTTTTTTCATGGTTCTAAAAATTGAACCCAGAGTTTTGATCGTTAAACATTGAAAATTTGAGACAAAGTGTAGTATGCTGTATAGCCAGAGGATGCCTTGGGACTTCGGATCTTCCTGCTGCAGCCTGTCAAGTGAGGCTTATGGGGGTGTGGATTGTAAGAGGAGGGCCCACTTCAGCAGCATGTCTTACTCTGGTGGCAGAACCATGGTGCCCTCTCTCCTTTCTTCCTCCCAGGATTCAGTTCTGTCTTCCACGACTACCTAAGTTCTGCCCTATCAACAAGCCAAAGCAGTTTCTTTATTCATTAACCAATGAAAGCAACACATTGACAGAAGGGCCTCCCACACCACCATGCCTCACTTGTAGTTATTCTTATGTTGAAAGAATGAGAGAGAAGATTAAAATGAATTTGTTATTAGAGATAGCTACTGTGTCTGGATGAAACCATGGGGGCACAAGTTTATTGTACACCTCTTCAAACTTTTCTCTAAGTTCAAAGCCAAAACTCATGGCTATGCAGTAATATCATGAGTGTCCCCTCTGATTCCCACTCCCAGGTATACAATTAGGAACTTAAAGTTGAAAGTGATTTAGAGCAAATTCAGGTTGTTTCACATGAATGTGAGCTAGGCTGCACATAGAGATAACATTTAAAAAGTGTCTTCGTGGCCAATTCTAATCATTTTGGTTGTCTCCTCTGTGTATTCAAATATGACACAGAAAAACATGCTGATCTGCTTATGTATTGAGGAGCTGCGGCATGGGGCAGAGCATATGGAAGAGGAACAAAATCCCCTTCCATTTGCAGTGGGTGTGTAAAAACGCTATGTGTCTTCTTCAGTAATAACAAGCCTCGCTATTTGCACTGCCTCTCTTTCCCAGCATGCTGCTTGCCTCCTAAATGCTCACTAAACCTAGAATAGTCTTTGGAAGTGTTCAGGTGCCAGAGCTATTTCATGGAGAGGAGAGTGAGGCACAGAGAGGTTAATTGTCTAGATCAGCCCTGAG